TAGGAAAACCCTAACCAGGAGACTAGGTCACATAGGCCCCGTTCTGCTCCCCGGCTGGGGACCTCGGGATGATGGTCACCGATGGTTAGCTACACTGAGTGATATGGCTGGGTGTCGCAAACAGTGGCGCTCGCGCATCCACTCGTTACTTTCCTAACACCACTCTATATGTGTTCTTTACCTTCCGCTTGAATTTGCTTCGACATTCCAATCTTCATTTCGCTCTTTTGTCCAAATGGGCAACCAAAACCGGCGCACGAAAGTGCATGGTTAATGGTTGTAAAAACTGAACTGAACCATACATTCGAACAAGCAAACGATGTCGTCAGCGTACTCCAAATCCAACAGCCTTTCTCCACCTGCCCGTTCAATAAAGTCCATAGAAGATATGAATATACAGGTGCATCAGGAGTTCCCGAAAAACGAAACAGTAGGTATAAATTTTACAGCATGATCGCACTAAAGAAACAAAAATTTCGATCAGATAAACTGCACTTAGCTAGTATCAAGAATCGCGATTCCAGAATGGAACTGAGTTGCAGACAGTAAAGTGTTTTCCGCTTTGGAAGAATGAAAAAACGGCACTTAAACAGAATGTTACAATTGGCATACCAAAGTGTATACATAGATTTGAGTGTACGCGCTTGCGCGCAAAATGAGCCGGTACCTCGAAAACGCCACATACTTAGACGACACACACAGGAACACAAACAGAAATTATGACGCAACAATTTTGCAGATATAGTTCACACACACACACAAGTCCCACCAAAAACAGATGTGCCAATGATCTCGGTTGGAATGAAACAATGTTGGCACTCATTCATTCGGTGAGCGTGGTGAAAAACGGACTGAAGGAAAGTGTGCGATAACAGATCATGAAAACATTCGCAAAATAGAATGAGACGACTTATTGGAAATAAAATCCACCGCTGAGATGAGCAAAATGCGTTGCTCGCAACAAGCGTGCCGAGATGAAATGAACCATTTCGCACATTGAGAAAAGTGAACTAGTGTGATCAGTTAGCTGCCCGGTGGTCAAGTGATTCGTAAGTTTGCGGCTTACTAGTGCGGTCTTGGGTTGGGTCGATGGATTCACAAGGTGGATGCGACTTAACTGTCGAAAAAATAGTGCACAGTCTTTCGTTGCTTGTCAGTTCAAGCTGCATGTGTGTTGTTCACAGTGAAACGCACTATACAATAGAATCAAATCCTACACGGTTCTCCCATTTGATACATCTGCCAAGATTACTCATCTATTGCTCACACTGGAATGTACTGAGCAAACTTTACTAGAGAATGTGGAAAGGTTGGTGCATGACGATCATGGAGAAACCGGATTGGTTAAATCTAAACGGGTGTTGACAAATGAGGGCTATGTAAAAAATTAACTAACAATAGGAGTTTCCAGCAGACAACAGAAACCAGTACCTAATTAGAATAGCGAATCGTGCTGGTAGGTCGGGGGCTTGGGTGGAAATTGTGTTTGATCAACAGTTGACGCACGGTTCAAACTCTCGGGACAGGAATCCCAGCTTTGCCGCACAAGTTTGCGCTCAAACAGGAATTTCGTTATATGAACCAAAAATTTCTCACGGTTATCATGTCCAGTAATGGCCTGAACCTTTTTCAGCCGCTGAATATCACGACAAATATCACACATTGAGAAATCCCATAGAAAAACATACAAAAAATGTCTCGCTTATCACAGTGTATAAAGATCTAGTTGTTAAGTTAGTGCAGGCGCGCCCTTTTGTTTCATTATCTCTCTCTCTCTCTCGGATTTATTTGATTCAACCTAAATATGGTGTGACCACTAGGAAGACTGGTGAGTGATCACACTCAATCAGTTTCATTCATGGTGCAATTAACACTGACTTTCTATGTCCCCTTTGGCCCATCGAGGGGTCCTGCTCAAACGAAAAACGTAAACGCGCCGCGGCTGGCAAGCAGCGCGTAGTTGCACCACCCCCTCCCCCCACATCCGTCCAAGGTGACTATGCCCTTACTGGTCAGGACAAACATCAGGTTGCTTTTCACAAAGATGACACCTATAATGTGCACCTTGGTTTCGCGCAGCCATCGTAACATGTAGGTCATTTGTGCACAAGAATCCTGGCTGGACCAAAGTGTTCAGGACTGATTAGTTGGAATGAATGGTTTTAAACCCTTCCGTAAGGACAGAAAGCAGTGTAGGAAGAAAACAGGTGGAGCAATCACCTACACCAACTCCTCGTGAAGCGGCAAATTTGAGCTTCTCTTCGATCATCCCCCCATCGGTATAGACCGTTAAACTATTCAATGTTCCCCTGGATTTTGTGACCTAAAAGCACTATCATAACCAATTTATATGTAGCTCCATTTCGTACTCAG